AAACAAAACAAAAATGCTTTCTCTAAAATTTACTGAGTCATAAGGTTTCTTGTTCTGTTTTGGTTTGTGGGTGTAGTGTACTGGAAGAAGGGATGCATGTACTTGTCAATGTGGGTGCACCTGCATACAGGTGTATAGGTACATGGGACAGTGTGCAGAGGTCAACACTGGATGTCTTTCCTCAATCACACCATCTTTTATATTTTGAGACCGGGTTTCTTGCTGAACTTTAAGTTCACTGACTCAGCTAGGCTGGCTGGTCTATGCGTTTCAGGGATCTCCCTGTTTACACATACACACACAACACAGTACTGGGATTACACATGTGTGCTACCACGCCCAGTTTTTATGTGGGTTCTGAAGACCCAAACTCATATCTTCAAGTTTATCCAGCAGGCACTTTACTAACTGAGCCATATCCCTGCCCACTTAAGTTTTTTCTTTCTTTTTGTTTGTTTGGTTTTTGGTTTTCAAGATAAGAGTTTCTCTGTGTAGCTCTGGGTATCCTGAAACTAGCTTTGTAGAACAGGTTAACCACAAACTCACAGAGATCCACCTGCTTCTGCCTTTCAAGTGCTGGGATTAAAGGCATGTACCATCACTGCCAAGCCCACCTAAATTTTTCTAAACTTGCAAATAGAAAATAATATAGGGTAAGTAGTTTAGGTCAGAGGTAAAGAGTTTACAAGTGCAAGACCCTGGGTTCAATTCTCATCATCAACCTCCAAAAGAAAAAGTATATATATATATATATCCTTCAAAATAAGGAACCTCTCCCAATGACCTAGCAAAAGTCTCTCAACAAAACCAGATATATCCCATTATCTCAGTGTAAACACATTTAAAACATTAACTGCCTACTTTAGGAGATGGGCAGTACTAGGACCAAGCTCACAACCTCATTACTAAGCTACATCCTCAGTCCCCATTCCATTTATGACTAAATGCTTCCAGTTAATGTCTTAGGGTGAGAAAAGAGTCTTTTTGTAAACCATCATCTACCACTTCTTACAGTTCCCTGACCAGCCAGTTCTCAAAGTTCTTAGTCCCAGCCGGGCGTTGGTGGCGCACGCCTTTAATCCCAGCACTCGGGAGGCAGAGGCAGGCGGATCTCTGTGAGTTTGAGGCCAGCCTGGTCTACAGAGCAAGTTCCTGGACAGCCTCCAAAACAACACAGAGAAACCCTGTCTCGGAAACAAAAAACAAAAAACAAAAAGAAGTTCTTAGTCCCAGCTTTAGTTCCTCTGCCCCTCATTCTTCTACATGGAGTTAGGGTGAATTAATGTGGTAACATTCTGCCTATACAAAACAATCCTGTAGCCCCCAGCTATTACTGAAGAAGAAAAGAGGAAGAGGAGACTACCATCACCATGCCCTTGGCAAGAATACAAGCCCTTCCTCCAATTGGCCAATTCTGACTACCCCTCAGGGAACCATGCCCCCAGACAGAAAACCCATGTATGTACTCACAGGCACACACCACAGACCATTGTTCAGTCCATCTGAAAAATCTTCAATATCAGGCAAAAACACCTACCACTGTCTCTCCCCTCATTAAACATTTCTGCACCTATCATGGAGTATTACATACCTGGGATATAATAAGTGTTCATAGAATGGATAATTCAACCTCCTATATTATATCAAACACCAGTACTATTCATAATGGAGAAATAAAAGGTACTTTCCCTTTAAAACAACAAAAAAATTGTCTTTCCCCTGTCAAATACAAAACAGTATAATCATTAAGATCAACATAAAGGGCCACAAATATGGCTCAGACCATAAGGGCATATGTCTCCAAGCCTGCCAACCTGAGTCCAATCCCAGGAACACACAGTAGAAGAACAGAACTGATTCCAGCAAATTCCTCTTTGACTTCCACGTGTGCACCGTGACATGAACACAAAAAATAAATAAAAATGTTAATACCTCCTCCTCCTGACAAAACAAAACAGGGTTTCTCTGTGTATTCCTGGCTGTCCTGGAACTTGATCTGCAGACTAGGCTGGCCTTGAATTTACAGAGGCAGAAGCAAGTGGAGGGGAGGAAAGGAGAGGGGAGGGGAGGGAAGGAAATGTCAGTACAGCATTTTGGAACAATTGTTTGTAGGGCTTGCTAGTTCCAAACTGGCCTAGCCCAAAACCTGGTAAAGGCTCATAATGGCATAGGCTCAGACGCTGGAGGATCAGAGTTCAAGGTCACTCTTAGCTATATAGAGAGTTTGAGGCTAGTTTGGTATACATGAGACTATGATTTCCTATCCCCTGCACCACCCCAAAAGGTCTTTTAGACAAATATAAAAACTCTGACATCTTCACTATATTAAAACATTAACACCCCTCCCTAAATAACACTAGAAGAAAAAATAAGCAGTTTGCACAAAGATGTTTCTAAGCCTGGCCAAAAAGCAAGCCCTGTTGAGTAGATAGCTCAGTGGGAGAGCATTTGCCTAGCATGTAAAAGGTCCTAAGTTCAATACCCCAGCAGAATACAAACTTTAATTTAAAGAAAAATATGTCAAGCCCAGCAGAGAGAGAGGAAGGTTGGAAGACTATTGAGTTCAAGCCAGACTGAATTACATAGGAAGACTATGCCTCAAAACAAACTCCTTCACATAAACACAAATATCCAATAGGAAGGTTTGTAGTTATGGTATATCCAAAGAAAATGGATTCACTGGGTCCACTGATAGTGAACAAACACAGAAAGCAATAATATGTCCAGCAACTGCATATGCACACACTGATCTCAAAAAGGATATTTGAGTGGGGTGTGGTTGCATATGCCTTGAATGCCAGCACTGGGAGGCAGGTGGACCTCTATGTGCTGCAGGCCTGCTTGGTCTACACAGTAAGTTCCAACAGAGAAGCATAATAGAGGGACCCTGTCTCAAAAATAAAAAGAAAACCAGGAAGTGGTGGCGCACGCCTTTAGTTCTAGCACTAGGGAGGCAGAGTCAGGCAGATCTCTGTGAGTTTGAGGCCAGCCTGGTCTACAGAGTGAGTTCCAGGAGGGTCAAAGCTACTCAAAGAAACCTTGCCTTGGGGAAAAAAATAGGTAAATATTCATAAAGCCCCCTTTGAGCCTATGTGGACAAATGAAGCACTGGCCTACAGACAACAGAAGCCCCAACAGGTGGCTAGCAAGCCTGAAAATATGTTATCTCTTAAACATCTCATCTAGAAATAATAAAGTCTCAACATCTGGACCCAGCTAAGGCCATTACCAGTCTCCTCCCATCAATCACACATCCAAACAACCAAATTAGTCTTCAAGGGCCTCCTGGAAATTAAAAACAGTTAGCAGGAAAGTTGCGCTGTTATTCTCATCCTGCCTCCCTGTCAAAACACCTGCAAGGAGTTTCATGTCTGATAATAAGTGGCGATGCTTTCAGTTTAGAGCATATATATTCACGACACACACCACACGCACACAGAGAAACCTCATAGAAGTTGAAAGCATGCTCTTGTATTTTAAGTTTCCAAACGCAGCAGTAGACTGAGCAATGATAGACCCACTGTTGTTCCTGAGAAGGAACCCTCCACTCTATCTGTATACCTATGTTCTGTGCTAGATCTGTCCAGACATTCAGCTAGTCCTTCATCCTAGGAAAGCCAGGAATGTCCCATCCTTCCTGAAAAGTCCTACCTAGATTCAATCTGAGTATCTCAACCCATGGAATTATCAGGCAGAGTTCAGATATGGTGGGGAAACACTCAAGATCTAGCAGTCAGAATGGAAATGAGGTCAAGGGCAAGCAAGGCATGTTGGTGCTCATCTATGGTCCCAACACTTGGGAAGCAGATGCAAGAAAAACCTCAAATTCAAGGCTAGCTTGAGCTATACAACAACACTGTCTCCGACAACAAAATCTCTTTTCTCCACTACCACAACAGTACAAAAGTTCAAAGACCACACTGAAAGCAAGAAACAGATCTAAAAACAAAAAGAAGCCGCACCTAACTTACAGATTCTGATTAGTAACAAAAAACACTTTGCTTTCAATCACATAGAAGCAAAATGCCAAATTCCTGACAATCAGCTAAATTCAAAGTCTAGATTGCATATGAAATCAGTCCATTACAGACAAATCTGTGACAACGATTACAGTTGTTAGGAAAAGGCACTGAAGTGTTACTCCCTCTTTAGAAAAGTCGGCTGTCTTCCGTGGCACAGTCACAAGGAATCCAAGGCAAAACCAACAAGACACTGCCTGCCTTTGTACTGGTATCAGGGCAGCTCATGTCATGCCCCTCTGCCATGTAAGACAAACACAGACTAAGCACCGTCACCTGGAAGCTATCAGCCTTAGGGCAGCCTTCTTGTCTCCTCAGCTGTGTCCAGCCAGGACTGGGAGTGAACAGCTGGGCAGAAAACAACTGGAAGTAGGACTGCTAGAGGAAAACTAGATTCAGGACCTAGAATATTTCACTAATCTGAAGCTGCTGTGGACTCACAGCTACAAAATCAGATATGTCAGTCATATCTCTTATTTATTCAGAATTCACCTCAACCAGGTTCCACGTGGGAAACCACTTAAAGACTTTGATCTTTAACATGGTGAAGTAACAAGCAACAAAGGAGCCAGGCTTGGCAGGACATGCCTCCCGTCACTTGCCTGAGTCCCAGGCTGTCAAGGGCCAATGAGAATGAGGGTTACTGAGGCGTAACCCCAATGGGAGTATGGTAAGGTCACTTCATTTAACAGTAAACAGTTCAAATTCCATGAGTGACAATCACTCGTCAATGACATGGGTGCTGGGAACTGAACTCAAGTCCTCTGGAAAAACAGGAAGCACTCTTAACTATTAGACAGACTATCTATGCAGCCTCCATCAATTAATTTTTGAAATGGAAGATGTCCTAACTTAATGACCATCATTTGGAATTATCCACCCAATAACTGGACATCCTACAAACAAGACCCTCCCAGTCTTTCAGCTACTCTTATTAGGACAGATGAGAGCAGAACAATGCTCTCTTAAACAGTGACTCACCAGGTAGTCTGTTCATGTTGACTCCTTGAGCTGAGAGTCCAATTCCCATGTACCTTAAAAAAGCAAATAGGGGAATGAATGAGAACAAAGTAGAACACGTATGTATGAAGAGGCCATGATAAAACTCATTACTTTGTATGCTAGCTAAAAATCAATTGTATCTACCTTCCCAAACAGTTCTTAAAAGACAGAAAAATGAGAAAAGTAATGACCGTTGACTTTTTCAATATACTAATGGCTCTCAGAGAACCTTCATTTTTTCACTTCTCTCATCTAAGTAGTAACTAGGCCCCACACTTAGACAACCTTTTGATATCTCTCTGTCTCTCTCTCTCTCTTTGTCTCTCTCTCTTTGTCTTTGTCTTTGTCTCTGTCTCTCTCTGTCTCTCTCTCTCTCTCATTTTTTTTTTGAGGCAGGGTCTTTCTGTGCAGCTCTGGCTGTCCTGGAACTCACTATAGACCAGGCTGGCTTCAGAAACACAGAGATCCACCTGCCTCTGCATCTCAGGTGCTGGGATTAAAGGTGTGTGCCATCACATCCAGCTAACCTTTTGATTTCTAATATAAGCATCTTAATATCTCTGCAACTAAAGACAGAAGAGGACCCCTAAGGTGACTCATCAGGTAAAGGCACTTGCCACCAAGCCTGAAACCCAAATTCCACCTCTGGGACCCTCAAAAGTCTTCCTCTGACTTCCAGATCTGTCTGTGATAAATGTGTGCACACACAAGCACACAAAATAAGCAAATGCACACAATTTTAAATTTTTCTTTAAAAGAAAAAGAAATAAGAGATAGTGTGTGTAACCAACACTAACTGATAAAGTGTACCGAAATCATGGCTTCCAATCATCTGACTTTCTAATTCCAAATAGTAGGAGAACCTATCCCTTAACAGTGCCTATGAACTAGGGAACCTGTAGCAGAGCAATGAAGGTCAAACTTACTCATTAGCAAGGAGCAGTGCACTGAAGAAATAGCCAGGCTGCATCTATTCTGGGTCACCAAGAGCCCTGACACAGCTTCCTCTCAGGATTCTCAAAACACATACACATTATCCTTCCCTGTACATTTATGGCTAACCTCCAGATCACACAAAGCAGGGAAGTGATGAAGTTTAAGCTTCCAAAACTATCCATTCACCCCGCCCCCCAACACACACACACACACCCCAGGTACCAAAGTAAGGTATGCAAGGCAAGGTGGGGGGCCCTTCCTGTGGCAACTCCCAAAGAAGTCTTAGTGGCACTCATAAGAAGAGGTAAGCCAAAAAAGGAAATCTCTTTTTCAGTCTATGTGTTTGTGGTATATAAGGAAATGGGTAACTCAAGAACTGAAAAATAAAAGAATCAAGCCATCTGGGGCTGAAGAGATGGCTGGAGCTGGAGAGATGGCTCAGTGGTTAAGAGGTCCTCTTCCAGAGGACCCGGTTTCAATTGCCAGCATCCACATGACAGCTCACAGCTGTCCAGGAGATGACACCCTCCCACAGATATACATGCAGGTAAAACACCAATTCGCATAAAATAAATAAATCTTAAAAAAAAAAAAACGGCTAGCCATCATCTCTTAACAGTAAAAGAGTAGAAACCAAATATAAAACACCTGATCCTAAGCACATAAGAGTGTCAATAAACTGACAGCTGAGGTGCTTGGAATACTTAAAACATCCAAAACACCATCTAAAGAGGCTGAGATGTAACTTTGTAATTGCCTACCAATGTCAGTGTATTTAATGCCATTGAATTATACATTTTAAAAAGTTAAAATAGCAAGCCGGGCGGTGGTGGCGCAGACAGATCTCTGTTGAGTTTGAGGCCAGGCTGGACCGACAGCCTCCAAAACAATACAGAGAAACCCTGTCTCATAAAACCCAAAAAAAAAAAAAAAAAAAAGAGTTAAAATAGCAAAAGCTATGTTAAGTGATTTTTACCATAATGAAAAAAAGTCTCTATTGGTGTTTGTGTGTGCATGTTCATTATGTGTGCACATGTATGTGTGAAAGCCAGAGTTTACCATCAGATGTCTTCCTTAATCATTCTCTATCTTTTTTTTTTTAAAGATAGAGTTGGCCATAAGGTAGTGGCAAACCCCTTTAATCCCAGCACTATGGAGGCAGAAGCAGGCAGATCTCTGTGAGTTTGAGGTCAGTCTGGTCTACAGAGTGAATTCCAAGACAGCCAGAGTTACTCAGAAAAACTGTCTCAAACAAACAAACAAAAAAGATACTCTTTCATTGAACCGGGAGCTCCCTAATTCAACTATATTGGCTGGTCAGTAAGCTACAGGGATCTTCCTGTCTCCAGATTCCCAGTTCTGAGATTACAGGTGTGCACTGCTGTGTCCAGATTTTTATGTGGATATTAGAGATCCAAACTCAATTCTTCATGCTTGTACAGAAGGCATTTTTACCACTGAGTCATCGTCCTACTCCCCAAAATTGAAGTAGCTGCACAGAGTTGCCATAATTTGTCTATTTCCAAATATTTCATCTCAGAGTATTCCTCCTCTAGTACACTCCACGCATTATATGCCTGCTTCCTAATACTTCCAGGACCAGCATAGTTGGCCCTGCCCCTGCCTGGCATTCACATGAAGTTAATGCCCTCTTTCCTTTCTTTCATTGTCTGTACCTACCACTCACTGGATTTTGGAGGAGCAATCTCTAATACACAAATGAATAGTACACAGGAATACAAGGCTCTGATCCACCCATCTCCCTTTGAAACCAGCAACCCCATGTTGTACAGGTATCAGGAAAAGATACAGACTAGCACATAGAGCTAATTAATTTAGTTCACAGAGTTTAAAGAAGGTAGGAGGAGAACCAGCATTTTATAGAGGGACATCCATAACGCAAAGAAAACTTCTCTTCCTTATTTTAAACACTATTTGGGACACAGAGTTAGATCCTTTAAGGTCAAAGACATGGCCCAATATACAGTCCAGGGCTGAATAGAACTGTTCAGTCCTTCCAAGAAACACACACTGACTGCCAAAAAGGGCCAGCTTCTAGCACCATCGGGAACCATTGTGTGAGTCTGCTGGCAGGATTCACATTAGATTACAACCTGCACATTTCCCCAGAAAAACAGCAGCCTAAACAACCAGCTTCCTGGCTTTATGTGGTAGAGAACGCCAAGAGCTGGTCTCCATTCCCTTGATGCCTTTGCTGACCAAGCAGTAAACAACTCAACTAGCCTGTAGTCACCCACCCAAAATGCACAAGAGTAACACAGCCAGGAGATTCTCTAACTTGGAAGGCAGCCACTCATCCTGTCCTACTGCAAGGGGCCTGAGCCTGTATCCCACACCCCAAGTAGTACCACTCCTGGCATAAGAGTTTCCTGAAACTAAGGTAAGCATATTTGTTTCCTGAATGACCCTTGACAGCCTAAAGCCAGTGCAAACAGGGCAAATCAAAGATACTACAGGAAGAGTTATGTTTGGCCACCAGTCAAAGTTCTGGTTCTAGAGGTTTTAGGGTTCTGGTTCTACAGTGTTCCATGGGGATGAAGGACCACTAAGATATCTATGCTCAAAACACAAGTTGCTTTTAGGGGGCTAGTGGTGTAGCTCAATGGTACAGCACCTGCCTAACATGTACAAAGTCTTGGGTCTGATCTCCTGCACTATAAAAAAAAAAAACCAAAAAACAAATACAAACAAGCTATTTTGTTCCTTCCTGCAAAAGAGGCCTCTTCTCTCCAGCAGGTAGCCATAGTCACATTCCTATAGGTTCCATGTTCCCCCAAAAAGAATGACATTTCCTAGATAATGGCCTGATAGCCTCTGCACAATCTGATTGGATGAGTCAAGTGTAGAGTAGCCAGGGAAAGCTGACACCCATTCACATCGGGCACTACGCCACCTCTAGGTGTCAATGACATGGGGAGCAGCTCCACAGGAACCCAAATAGCAGACTCTATTGAGGTCAAAGCTGCCTCAGGTTCCAAAGGAAATAGGCCTCAACTCCTCAAACACTAGATAACTCTAAGTCTTTTCCAAAAAGGGTACTCTGAAGCTACAGGAAGTCATAGGTCCCTGGGCTACATGTGGCAGGGCACTTGCCTAGCATGTCAAGCCTCAGGCACTTGAGGGGGGGGAGGAATAAGTTTCACAGATGGGTGTGATAACACATGACTGTAATTCCTCAGTACTTGGAAGGAAGAGGCAGAAGGTCAAAAGTGCCAGCCTGGGTGACCCAACAAGCCACCCAGGGATGCATAAAAAGACCTTGTCTTAACTTTTTGTTTAAAATAGGTGTAGGCTCTCATCTTCTGGTGAGTTTTCAGGCACCTGAAGACTATCATCCAACCAGTCTGAGATAAGAGCCATAAGGACCCTTCAAATACACTAAAAAGTACTGAGCTACACACTTTTTGTTTTTGCAATACTGGGACACCAGCAGAGGTCCTTTTGAGTATGTTGAAAAGTCCCAAGCAAGGACTGTACTGTTGAAATAAATCCCAGATCCTCAACAATACACTTTAAAGGGTAAATCATACAGGATAATGGAATTACACATCAGCCAGGTAAGGTGGCACACACATATAATCTAAGAATCAGGAGGCTGAGGCAGCTATATGAGTCCAGCCTGAGCTAGAACAAGAATCCTGTCTCAAACAAAATAAATTTTTAAAAATCACATCTGGGCCGGGTGTGGTGGTAATTGCCTTTAATTCCAGCACTCAGGAAGCAGAGGCAGGAGCAGCTCTGGGAGTTCAAGGTAAGCCTGGTCTACATAGCAAGCTCCATAACTACATGGATACCTTGTCTCAAAACAAAACAAACAAAAATTACATCTCAATTATACTCAACAGAGAACAGAAGGAATCATAACACAATGAGGACCACTAACATAAAATAGTCATGACTAACAAGACTCAAAACTTATCCTCCAATATTGGGAACACAATGTTCTCACTATTACCACTTCAACAGAATACTGAAAGTTCTAGGCAATGCAGTTAAAATTAAATATAGGAGGCTGAGAGCGTACACCTTTAATCCCAGCACCCTGGAGACAGAAGTGAGTTCAAAGCCAATGTGG